AAATGGTTAGTTTTAAATTATAATTTTTTTGTATTATTTTTGTTAATTTCCCAGTGTTATATTGTTTAGTTAAAAAAATTAAATTTGGGATTTGGAGTTTTTTTCCTTCTAAATATATCAAAAAGCATGCGGATTCGGAGTTGTTCACCTTTTTCATTGTTTCATGTATTCTATAAAACAAAAAAAGTGAAAGACCAAACACCACGTATGTAAGTCCAAGTGTTGAAGATATGGGTGTTAGCTTGTATGATATAATAATTTGACACCACTCATCAAGTAATCATAAATCAAAAAATCATCCAGTCATTATTTTAATAATACAAACATACTTTACGTCTCTTACGTGCATTCATAATTACAAGGGTGGCATTGTGAACCCATCAGTGGCGGAGGTACGTGGTGGGTAGGGGGTTAGTTGACCCCCATAAAATTCATACTTTCTTTTTATAATTCTTTTCAGTTATATAATTTGTCATATAAAATAGCAACAAATTGTATTTTTGACCCCCATTAACCAAAGTTTCAACCCTTGTGAGTTGTGACCCATGATTATTCTTACAATCTCATATATTTTTAATCCCATATATTTTCTTTCATACCCACACATTTCAAAATTACTTATTTTTCACGTAAATCATCCGTAAATTATTTACCCTTCTAAATTATGTTGATTAATAAGTATTGTCTCTATACATTAGATTTTGTATAGTATGATTTTAAACTTGAATACTTGTTTATGTAAAATGAAACAAATACAGATAAATTAACAAAACTAAAAACTACAATAATTTGTATAATATATTTAAATTAAGAAATATTATACTCAATAATAAAATATTTCTAAATTGTGGGATCGTATGCAAAGTGGACATGGTGGAAGGATTCGTTGATCCACCACCACGTGTTTTTTTCTTTTTCTACGTGTTTAATGCATTTTTATTTTAATTTTATGTATTTTTCTTATTTTCGTGTAGTTTTTTTTCTCATATGTATTTTCTTTTTTTTTTGTTAAATTATTTTGGGTCTTTTTGGTGGATAACCAAAAAAAATAAAATAATTAAAAAGTTAGAAAAAATGGAATATGTGGCAAATTGTAGACTATTGAATTTGAGTTTTGGGTTACTTTTTAAATTTTTGTTGTATTTTTGGCAAATTCTCCTAATTAATTATTTTTTTCTGGCTAAATTATTTCTCCCATCTATGTATTTAAAATGTTGTGTCTCCCATCTACATTATTATTTTCTTCTTTTCTGTGGTCGAAGTCATTATATTATAGGCTCTTCAATTAGAAAGTTATAAAACAAATATTTAAAACTACTAGTGTGACATTGTGAGTCTATACATAACTATGGTAATTAATTTAGTAGTTAGTGGTTATAAACTCGGTGACTCGCTTTCTATCTAGATTTGGCCACTTTGAGGAAAAAACGAAACCAAAACCTCAATCATTTTTTAGATGATCATAACAATGATTCAATCAGATTTTTTCCTCTATAGTCATATAATAGTTAACTAATCATCATCAGACATCAAAATATTAGTTTAAAGTTTCTTGAAGAAGATTTTAAGACTTAATCACATTTCTTAGTTGAAAATTACATTAGCATAAACCATAAACATCTCACTTTTGCTTGTGACCAAAAAAAAAAAACATCTCACTTTTACTCGTTAACCCAAATGGCCTTAAATACTTACATGCATATGGTAATGGGCTTTTGCAAACCCATCTGATAATACATAGGATAGGAAACTAATAGTAGTAGATTTTTTCTCCTTTCTTTTTTGTCATCGGAAACAATAAGATGAATCGATAAGAGAGCTAAGTGAAGTGATATGATAATAGAAGATGGGGATCATACGAGACGAGTGGTCCAATTTACATGAAATTAAATGGTCCAAAAAGGAAAGGCTGAGAAAAATTATATGGTGTGTCTCTTTGAGGACCACATTCCTCGATCACGCCATTTATTGAATCAAATCTATATAATTAGTTTATATAAAGAAAACAAATATTTCAAAATTAAATGCTTAAAGCTACAAATATTTCCCAGACGAAATCGATAGCTCAGTAGCAACAAAAGGATTACCAACAAAAAAAAAAAGTGGTCCCATAAAACTTTACAATAATGGCAAATTGCTAACTTGCTCGTCATCAATCTTTCCTTTCCTAAGCATGCAATGGTACTATGGTTTATACGTATTTCATACTTTTCATGTATCAATATTGTTAGTACGTATGTTTCAAAACAACAAAATTGTTAGTACGTGATTAATGATCCAGAAATTTATACGTGTAAAATTCTAATTAAATAGAACAATATTATTTGAAAGAAAAAAAATCGTTTTGTTCACACAAAATGACTAAAATTTTTAATTAACATTCCTATGCTGTTTTTAAATTAACTATTCGATTTTTTTGGTATGTTGTGTGTTGTTTTATGGGGTGTTTTATCTATTTTGATTATTTACTTGTCACCACAACTGATTTCTACCCCATATATTCGCTTGCAATTAGATGTAAACGCTACGCTCTTTTGGATATTTTGAAGGCTACTAGATATTTCAAGTGTTATACATAAATATCATAAAATATCCTTCATAGTCGATTTCTATATATACGTATTGTTTACGATGTTTTTGTGTGTGCGTTTGTGTATATATATACGGCACTGATATGTAAAGTAAATGAGAGTAATGGAATCAATCATGGGAAATACAATGACGAAAATCCAAGAAATGTTTCTTTTTATTGACATGGATTAGTGATTATGCAAGTTGATTGATATCTATGTTATGGTCCCTATGTATTTATTCGTTAGATTTCGATGTTGTCTACATCTAATCTCAAAAATTCAATAAACTCTTTATTTTGTTTTTTTTATTTGGAATAGTATTTCCGTAATAAAGTTTTTAAAAGAGTTGTGACCTTGTATTATGTATAGCCCATCAACATTTATAGTAGATGATGAAAGGAGAGGTCTCAAGTCTCGACTAGACGTTCTCTTGGTCATAAATCACAATCAATAAAGATTCAGTGTTTTTGTGTGTGTTTTAAATTTTGTTATTCAAATGAATTTTGTGTTGTGTGGTTTACAATCCAAAAAAATAATAAGTTGTTTGAGAGAAATACCAAAATATTTTCTAAATGATCTATAATTTTTGATTTGATATGTAAACGTCGGCAAACGCGGACTGTTAATGTCAAGTAAACAAACCCAAAGACAACTAGTTACAATTCCTTGAACAACATAAAAAAATATATTATTGACTTTAGATATTTGCTGTTCAGTCTGTTTTTTTTGTTGTTGTTAAAATGCTTTATAGTAAGGAAAAGGTAAATTAAACATGAATAAGAACAAGGTAAACCTAATAAATTTGTTATTTAGTGGAACCACCAAACATTTCATGGAACTTACACCCCACCAAACCTATAATCTTTCCATATTTTCAAATTAGGCTTGGGCAAACTTAATATTACTTTATAGAAATCTTAAATAAATCATATATTTTAAAACTTATTATGTTTGGTTCATTGAATCATAGAAAAACACATGTTTAGCTCGTGGCCTAGTTAAACCTACATATTAAAAACCGGGGGAAAACACCAATCTTGTTTAATGATCCATATACGGAGTTTCTGTTACACGTCCGGTTAATCTGTCTTAAATTTACTTGCTTAAATAGTCGGTGTGTGATGATAATAATTTCGGTTTTTTTTGTAGTTAATTAACAAGCAGATAATGCTCATTCTCGACACGTGTAATACAATGATTAGACATGTTTATTAATTTTTGTTAAAGAGTTATAATTACAAAAAAGTGCCCGTCAACGTTAAAGGAACCGGCCCATGATTTTCTAACACGTAAGTTTTAGTCCAGAGGATAAAAAGAGAGAGACTGAAAGTTTGAAAACAAAAAAGACAAATCATAATAAAGATTTGCATGCCTTTTCGGAAATTCAACTTCTCTATTTTTTTTTTATTTTTTACTATAACTTCAGTTACATTTAATGATTTTCAAATTTATACCATAATTTCTCTTTTCAAGTAAAATTGATAAACTTTGACTACTCTTCTTAATCTTATCGTCCAATGAATGTTTTTAACGAAGAGTTTATTTGTAAGATAGTAATCGAGAAAATAAAATTACATGCAAAATAACAAAATAAAGCAGAAAATGTGTGATTGGACAAAAACAAGAACGGCAATAGAAGACTCGACGTCCACCACCTACTCACCCCCACCCTATTTTACGGGCCCCACTAGCTCGGCCCATTGGGCCTTTTTAGCTTTGTATGAAAGGTAGTAATTAACAGTAAGTTTCTTTATATCCGTTTATCATTCTAATTTCTCAGTAAACCTACTTTTCACATATATATATTGATAAGCATTGATAAAAACTTATCGAAACGTTGAGAGTATATAGTAACTAGAATGCGTTGACTAAAATATTAGCCACTGAAATGATGTTGTTTTCATGCGTAACCAATGACTATGAACCATCCAATACTCACATTAAGAAAGCTAATAATGAAAAAGTATAGTTGCGTGACGTATTTTTGCAATATTGAAAATAAAAAAAATATAGGAAAGAAAAGGCAATCAAACAAATGCGGAAAAAGGTTATAATACAAATCGTGATTCGGACACGGGTTTGAGAAAATTAGAAAGCGAATGAAGAAGATATTAGAATTTTAATTGGTCACAGATTTTGACAAATCATATAACGATATAGAGTAGA